TTTGATGATGCATGGAGGGGATTGTAACCATGGCCATAAAATGATATATGATAGGATGAATGTAAAACTGATGTTCTCCCATGTAAACTATCACATAATTCACAATAAAACAAACCAACAATGGGCTCAAGCAGAGTAGCAACTGAGGATGACGCAGGACTGGGTGATGTTTCGTTCTGTTGTACACAGGGTTGCTATAGGTCAGAATCAACTCTACATCACCTAAAACAACAACTATGAATGAAAAAAAGTAACAATGCGTATGTCTACAGTTAAAAACTAAAGAAAATGGGGGTGGGGTGGGGTGGATAAACAGTGTGATAGTTAAGGTTTTGTGTCAGCATTACTGGGCCATGATTCTCAGTTTCAGCAGTTAAGATGCAGTAAATCTCCATTACGCAATCAATTATAATGTAATCACTTCCATGACTGAGATCTGCTGTGAGCAGCCAATCAATTGAAAAGTTGCTTCCTCAGGTTTCACTTGCTTCAAATAAACTGGATACTCAGGCAAAGTGTGCTTGTTTTTTTACTGGGTCTGGAATCTGCATCTAGCTCCTCAGGTTCCTTGGGCTTGAGCCAGAGGTTTGACTGCCAATCTTCCCTGCAGACCTTAGATTCATTTGTCTCTGCAGCCAGAAGTCTGCCATCTGACCTGCTGATCTTGGGTTCATGACTCAGGAGCCACCTCCAGCTTGACATCTGATCCACGGACTTGGAATTTGCACAGGTCTACAGTTGTGTGTCAAGGAACTCTGGTAGCGTAGTGGTTACGAATCGGGCTGCTAACCTCACAGTCAGCAGTTTGAAACTACCAGCTGTTCCGCAGTAGAAAGATGAGGCTTTCTGCTCCCGTAAAGATTTACAGCCTCGGATACCCTGTACAGGGTCACTATGAGTAGGAACCGATTCCACAACACATAACAACAAACAACTATGTGTCATTTTCTTGATATAACTCTCTGCGTATATAGTTATATAAGTTTCACTGGTTTTGTTTTTCTAGAGAACCCAGCCTAACAGTGAAAAAAGATAACCAAAGAAGGCATCTGGCTTCTTTCTACTCCTAACTGCAGTAGGATTATTTATCCATCAAGAAATAGTATATTTTTAGTGATACATAAGTGTTCATACGTTTGCCCAACTTTTAAAACATTAACACTACTTTGATTTTCGCGCCACTATTAAGTGAAACCAATAGGATTTAAGTAAATCAATCACGTCTCCATTGGTCCGCCACAATTTAATTAGCTTTCTGTTGTGTCTCAAGCTTTCATTGCTATAGAAAGCATCAGTTCACTAACGTAAGTGGACACGAGTATTACCTGGAGGACTTATAGAAACATTGCTGAGCCATACCCAAGGAGTTTGGAGTCCTGATGTGACGTTGTAGGATAAGCACTAGACCTCAAGGTCGATTTGAGCGGAAAAGTGGCGGTTCGAATCCATCAGTCGCTCCTCGGAAACCCTATAGAGTCGCTGAGTCGTAACTGACTCGATGTCAATTAACAACCACCACCACCCACAGAGTTTAGGTTTTAGGAGATGGAGGTGGGGTTTGATGGTTTGCATTTCTAGTAAATTACTAAGTGATGTTGACGTTGCAGGTCCAGCGACTACATTTTGAGAGCCAAATGCTAGTATAAAGACTGCACTAATCCTGTCTCTCCAGTACTGCTAGCCAAAGAAGACATAAGCGATTACGTCTCGAGAAACCTCAAGAGCTCCACAAGACCCGCCCCAACAAAAAGCCCCAAAACTACCCGCTCCAAGCCGGAACTGAGATAACCATCATTCCACGCCAGGCGCAGCCCACCAACGCCATTTCCCTTATACTAACTCACGCTTGCTAACGTGAGTCAGAATCAGCGATCCAGCGGATACGTAACACCACGTGAATCGAGCGAACTCTCGCGATATTTTGGAACTCTCGCGAGACCTTACCCGCCACTGTCTAGAGCTCCTTCCAGTGCCGGGGCTTGGTCCCCCTCCCCCTCCCCGCCGACCGATTTCTTCTCTTTCAAAGCCGGTCGCCTTGTTGTTGACGCCGCGGAGTCTTCCGTGCTGCTGCCGCTACTAGTGGACTCAATCGCCCCGGCCCTTTCCCGCCGCCCTGCCCCAGCCCCGCACAAGGTAACAAATCCCGTAAGGGAGGAAGGCCTTGCTGGGCCTCGGCATCTCCGAGTTGAAGCGGAGGCCTAAGTCGAGGGGGCAGCCGTGCTTGAGAGGCCTAGGGCGCCGGCCGAAGTGTTAGGAGCTACGGCCGCTTCTTCCTCCTCTCCCATTCGGGACTGAGCCCTTAGCGGCCCCGGCACGATTGGGTTTCCCGGCCGTGGTGGGGAAGCCATCGGATGGGGTCGGGTCGCGGAAGGCCGCCCTTCTGGGGAAGGTTGTTTGGGATTGTGCGGCTCCGGCGCTGCTCGGGTCGGGGAGCTCAGTTCGTGTTTTCCGTTTCCCTGGAAGCTGGATATTTCGGTTTCGAGATCTGAAATGATCAACTCGAGACGTGGGGAGTTTTTGGGTGACTGAAGGCCCACAGCTTGTTTGAACATTTTGGAGCTTTTCCAGATTTCAGGTTGTCACTGGACAGGAATTGAAAAAGTTTTCGGAAATCCCTTTTAAATCATTAGTTAAGGGATAATTCGTGTCTTATTTTCAGGAAAATGAATGACCCGGATTTGGTGAAAGTCGTTCACCTTAAAATGTTGTTAAAATGGAGGAATACTGGTGCAGTTTCTTTTATTCTGAAGAAAAAAACCGCATCGGCACTATTTAAGTGAATGTGAAAGATTTTTTGATCTGGAGAACAGCCTCGAAATAAACTCATCACTTGAATAGTTTTTAAGTGTAGTTAATCTAAAATTAATGCAAGACTGTTAAGAGTAGTTAATCCAGAGCCATTTGGAAGTATTCTTTGTTGCTTAAAAATAAATTCGGAAGTCTTTACCAACAGATTAGTAGTTCGGTTTTGTTTTTGTGAGATAACCAGTAATTGAGTAGAACACAATAATACCTGCCATGCAATACAATGAAAATTAGTTTTTGTCTTCCACCCTTGTTTTATCTCTTGCTTTTTCATTTTTCTTTTCTTACTATATGGATTTTCCTTGATATTTATAATTGTCAGAATCCATTGCCATCAATTTTGGAGTTTGGCGCTCAGCTTTTCTCTGAACTAAAAGTAAAGGTTGTTGTTAAGTGCCGTCGAGTCGGGTTCTGATCCACAGCAACCCGTATAGGGTTTTCGTGGAGCAGCTGGTGAGCTTGAACCGTCGACCTTGCGGTTCAAACCAACTTGGCAGTCCAGCGCATTAACCCACAGGGCCACACCAGGACTCCAGAAGTCAAGGTAATGATGGTGATTCAACAACAACCTTAATAAGGTGTTGGGAACAAAACTGGTAAGGATTCATTGTGTCAGACAGGGAAATAGTTTAAGGGTTTGTTCATCTTTTTGATCTTTATTCCCCTCTCTCCTCCCAGATGTCAGAAGATCTTGCAAAGCAGCTGGCCAGCTACAAAGCTCAGCTCCAGCAAGTTGAAGCTGCGTTATCTGGAAATGGAGAAAATGAAGACTTGTTAAAATTGAAAAAAGATTTACAAGTAAGTATTGGTGACACTTGGAGTTACACTGCTTGTAAATGGTATTTGGTGTTTTCGAATGGTTTATTGTGTATGATCCCTTACTACACAAAGCACTCTTAGGAGATGGTACTCTACATGATTGTATCGGCATGTTTATGACCAGAGGGACACCTGGTTCAGAAGTAGAGTGGCTTTCTCAGTGTGTATACATAAAAATGACATTTTTTGACATTATTGTTGACATTGTTCTTTATTATGTAAATTGTGTGCGTCCATTTTTTCAATTTCCAATTTTCAGGAGAGGAAGTGAACTTTACAATGGGAAGTAATTTTTTTACTATTAAAGATCTGGTAAAGGAGATTTAGTTCAAAAGGTAATGAAAATTAAAGGAAAGAAGTATAGCCCGACAGGATTCTTTTTAACACCACAAAAATCTTTCCAAATGAAACAATTGTGTGTGTGTGCTATCAGGAAGGTATGTTTCAGTGCTAGTGGATTACTCCCAGTATTGAAAACAATTTAGAAAAATAAGAGGTACTTGTTCTTTGCAAAAATATTGCATAGACATTTGGTCTTAAAGGCCTTTACAGTGTAGTTATTGGCACTTAAACCCATCAAATGTAATAAGATCTTAATGAGTTTTACTTTTTTTGTGTGTCAGGGAAGAGTTCAGTACATACAGAACTTGCTTTTTAAAAATCCATGCGAGGATTTCAAGACAAAGTCATGTTAGTTGTATCTGCTGTTCATGATGATTAAGAACACCATCTGTAAGATTTGTAAATACGACTTTTCATCTTAACAGATTTGAGGACTTCCTTAAAACCTGGTTTTTAAAAGCTTTAAAGGATATATTGTTTAGATGCTTTTTATTGATTCAGTACAAAACTTGAATCAGCTTCACTTAACCTGACTTTTTCTCCCTCCCTTTATCATTCCTTTAGTCATCAAAACTATTAATATTTTAGTATTCTAGTTTCATTGCAAACAGTGAAGCTTACTTTAAATGGGGGTCCAGATTTAAGCATAACTAAAATGAGTTGATTATTTTCGAATTCTAATTCTAGATTTATGATAAACTTCCAAATAGTTTATTTAAAAAACAAGCAGCAGAAAATATCTGGGATAATTTCAGTATGAATAGGACCCTTCAGTATGTAGAACTCAAGCCTAGATTCAGGGTGTGGCACTGTAGGATAAGCTCTAGACTGCTAACCACAAGGTCTGCAGTTCAAACCCACCAGCTGCACCTTGGAAACCCTATATAGGATCGCTGTAAGTTGGAACTAATTCAACATTCAAAAACAACAAATCAAGATGAAAATCATGTTTGGGGAGAAACTTTTCCCACTCCCAGGACTTTCCATAAAAAGAACGGTTTGATACCTGTCCATTCTTTTGATTTGATCACATGTTCTGTGAGTGTGCATTGAAGATAAAGGACGGATGGACTGACCCCTTGCATATTTATATACTGTAAAACAATAAGTTTCTGCTTGCTTTTTAAAGAAATATCCTGACATTTCCCATATGCCCTTATCAACATAAAAGCAGCCCTTCTTCCCTGAAGAAACTGAAGCATTGTATGCCAGTGTTGCATATGTTGTGTCTTAGACAGTGGGAGGAGGGGTACATGGACTGGTGGAAGGGAAAGTTAGAAGTGGGTCTGATGTTAAACAATATTTTTGGTATTTCTAGAATAAGTCATTTAAGTCTGTAACATGGTCTGTAATGGAAAATACTGTTGAGGGAGAGACCATTGTAGTAAGCACATAAATGACTTACCCAGGGTTGAGTTAGGGGGATGTTTATCTGTAAATAAGCCTTGTCTGTAACCATTTAGAGCAGTGCTGTCCAATAGAACATTCTTTAATGATGGAAATATGAACAAACCAAGCTATTAAAGCCATAGTGACTAGTCCAATGTCACTAGTGTGATTGAGGAACTGTGTGTTTTCACTTAATCTCAGCAGTCATAAAGGATGGCACAAATTTAGAAGCTTAAGATATAACTATTAAGATAGCAATAATAATAGAATGTTTTTATCAACTAATCCTGATCATGGTTTCTTCTCGTTCTACAATGGAAAAGTTTTATTTGGTTAGTAAACATGGATCTATTTTGAATAAAAAGTACTTGAAGATGGAAGGCATTTTATAAGATTAAATGAGATTTTGGGGAAAATTATTGTCTCCATTAAGATGATAGAGGCTCTCTTTTGCTGTAGGTTGTTGTGTTTTTATCTGCTTTTTGGGACGTATCTTGTGTGGTTGTTATATTGAAACCTGTGAGAGCCGGAACTGCACAGGACTGCCTTGTGTTTCTGGATCTTGTATATTTTCTGCCTTTGGCAGGGTGCAGTCATATCCTTTTCTCACTTTCTACTAGTGGGAAATACTTGAACTTACTTGACAGATTTCCACCTTACACAGGTTCCAACTTTTGCATGTTTTACTGTATTTAATTTTTCCTGTTACTTGGTAAAATGTCTGTTTAGATTTGGTTTGTGGCCTCCTTATTTTTGTATTATTTGACAATCATTTTATTTCTTCTTTATTTCATTTTTCTTGCAGAATTATACCCTGAATATGAAATTTGCTTGCCTTTTATTTGATTTCTGACAAAATACCTTTTCTGCATTTTTTTCAATGACTTTCATTTACCAGTAAGCTTCCTATATAATTTCTGTGTACTGTCTTTTGAGTAGAATAGTTACTCTATAGGCAGCACATTAATTGACTGAAATACTTAAGAGTGGGTATAGTAAAATCCTGGCTAACTAGCTGACTCGCTCCCCCAGCCATCTATGATAATCACAAGAATAGTCAATATATTAGGCTGTTTTGCTGACTATACTGGTTCTAAAGGAGGCAGGGGTCAAGTCACTTGTCTCATATATTACAGTGGCTCTCTGCATCCCCGAAACGCCTTCCTTCAGTAAGCAGAGTGCTTGAATGCACCCCCTTTGACCTGCTGCTATGTAGATCCCACCACCTGATGCTTCCTGGAATTGCCCGTTACTGTAACTGCTGCCCATCTGTCAATGAAGGAGCAGTTTCAGAACCCAGACTTGGGGGAGGAAAAGTAATTCATGGTATGTACCTTCAAGAAGCCCCTCATACGTGAAGTAGTTTCTCTTTCTAATACTTTGGTCCATATGCACATGTAGGAAAAAAAGCTTTAGCAGGTTCTGCATAGTTAGTTGGGTTGGGAGACTTGTAAAACAATGGCAGACTTCAATGGACACTAGGGGTAATGCTCTGAGTTTAAATAAGGAGGGGGGTTCATTTCATTTTAGGGCTCTGAAATTGTTCACAACATGCACAGCTTTCCAAGACCTTTTTAAAAAAAAAAAAAAAAAAAAAACAAACCTGAGAATGTATTTCCTTATGAAAATACAGTGAGCAGTAGTTATTCTATCCAAAAAGAGAAATAGAATTCTAAATATGACCCCATTCAGAATTCATATTTGTGCTTCAATAGTTCAGTGTTCTGTAGGATTGGGGATATATACTTTGTGCTGTCATCATGTGATTATATGGGCTCTTGAGTAAGGCTTCCTGGGTTACATTCTTGGCCCTAAAAGTGACTAACTGAAAACAAAATTGGGTAATTTACTCTTGGAAATTCCTTACTTTTATAAACTACTGTCTTATTAAAAGCCATTTGAATTCCTACTTGGTAACTAATTAAACTCTGTCAGAGATATTTACTGAATTTTTTATGCAAATCTGAGTCTTCTAGTTAATACATCTGGTCTTAGGTCTTTTTATTCACAATACTGACCTTTTCTCCAAGAACTTTATGTTCCTTTTGTTTTTCCATTTCCTTTACCTCCCCACCAACCCCCCACCACACATACTACCCCTTAATAGTAAAGTTTAGAGTTTTTAGGGAAAAAGTAATATTTAACTACTGAGCCAGAACTACTATTCTAAAACCTCCATGAGAGCCAGAAAAAACTCAGTACAAAGTTTAACTTTGCTTAACTTTGCTCCCCAAACACATAATCTGGCATTTTAAGGTAGTTTATGTATAACGTTTTGTTTGGGGAATGCAAGCTCTTTAATCAGATAAGATGGTGTATAGTATGGGTGTTCATTTAGAGTAATAATCTATCATATAGATAGTAGAATATATCCATTTATAGTAGTTTTAAATGTTTTTGAACTAGCCTTACCACATTCCTCTGAATGAAACCAATAAGTATTAGCCTGAAGTAGAAAAATTATTGTCACACACAGGCAGCTATGTGAGCTAAACGTAGTTTCTTTTTCTTTTAAGTGAAGCTGTGCCATTAGAATGTTTAAAATATGTCCTGGTAATTTGTTTATCTGAGTGGGATATATTTTATAATGGAAAAAGTACTGGTTTCTTTTACATACACTCCTGTAGTATTTAATAGAAGTCTATACGAACGGGTACTTGATTGCTACTGTTAGCAGTGTTCGAATGGTTTTTTGTTGTTGTTTTTTTGGGGGGAGGGCACTAAAGGAGATCCAGAATGGTTAGGCATTTAATACTACTAAGTGGTGGTTATGTGCCATGGAGTAATGCCCTATAAAGCAGTACAGTGGCATGAAACATGTGGCAATGATACAACGAAAGTGCTCTTGAATTTCATTGAGTCTCTCATACTTGGCCGTATTTCTCTCCTTTAGAGAGATCTCGTGAGCTGCAGTAGGCACTTAGAAATGCAGCCTGATAACAGAAGTAAGCTCCACCTCGTTCCGTTAGTGTCTGTGCTGCAGTTGTAGTTAAGAACACAGACTATAGAGATAGTTAAATCCTGCCTCTGCCACTTAGTATAAAATATTGTTAGCTTCTGCATATTGATAATCACAGTAATTACTTGGTAGCATTTTGAACTTCAGAAGTAATATGCGTAGACTTCTAAGTAAGTGCTCTACAGTGTGAGAGCTGTTGTCATCAAAGAACTCACTGGTTCTTGAAAGTCACAGTCAGTGTGTATTACAAAAATAAAGTAATGTAATTGCTCTTTTTCCTTTTTAGGAAGTTATAGAACTAACCAAAGACCTTCTTTCAACTCAACCTTCGGAAACTCTTGCAAGTTCAGACAGTTTGGCTTCTACGCAGCCCACTCATTCATGGAAAGTAGGAGACAAGTGTATGGCGATCTGGAGTGAAGATGGACAGTAAGTGTAGAAAAAACCCTGTAATTCTAACATGAGATAATAAAATACAATGGTAAGAAGTTTTTATTCAGTTTGAACTACCCTATTTTAATCGTTCTAGGTAACTAATAGGGTTTATATACTTAATTTGATTCTTGGGTGGTTACTATTAAATACATTTTCATTTTTAGCTTGAGATTAAGTATGGGAGAGAAAGACTAGCTTGTATCCTAGCAGGGGAAACAAATGAAAACAGGAAAATGAATAGTTGCTTTCTGAAATAATCTATATTCTTCTCTCCTCAAATTGAAAGTTAAGCTATCTCAGGTTTCTGTGAAGCACACACTGAAATTATTTGTATGTGAAATCTCTTTTCTCACCAAGATTAAAAGCATGCTCAATAGACACGTGTCAAAGACTTTCCTGGCAGTGTTTTGATTAGAACTTCATTTTTGTTAGTCAATAGCTAACTCCAACTACTCTCTATATTGTTTTTGCCTCAAAGGCAATTTGATTACAAAGTTTCGTTTTAGACACACTATAGTTGAATCACTGCAGTATAAGTCTTAAAGGCTTGAGTGCTAAACCTTTACTCACCTGCTTACAGCCATGATATCTTTACAGGTGTTATGAAGCCGAGATTGAGGAGATAGATGAAGAAAATGGCACCGCTGCAATCACCTTTGCTGGCTACGGCAATGCTGAAGTGACTCCGCTGTTGAACCTCAAGCCTGTGGAAGAAGGAAGGAAGGCAAAGGAGGACAGTGGCAGCAAACCCATGTCAAAGTAAGTGACTTTGACATACGCATTTTGAGTGTGATTTTTTTCCCCATTTGGATAGTTGATGAAGTCTGTAGAGATAACCTATGCCTGCTAAATTGGGATAAGAAAGCTACGGTAGTGTTTACCATTGTTTTGAAAACTTAGTAGTGATACAAGGTCAGCATTATCTGAATATATGGTTGTGTGCCATTGAGTTGGTTCAAAGTCATAGCGACCCTGTAAATATTTAAGAGGTTACGGTGTACCAGGCAGAGTTCTAGGTGGCTCAACAGTTAATCCTCTGGGATGCTAACAAAGGTTAGTGGTTTGAGTTCACCCAGAGGCACCTTAGAAGAAAGACCTGGTGATGCACCTCTGAATAAAATCAGTCATTGAAATCCCTAGTGAAGCACAGTTTTGTTCTGACACATAGGGCTTGCCGTGAGTTGGACTCTGCTCCATGGTTTGCTTGTTTTTTGTTGGTTATGTGCTGTGGAGTCGATTCTGATTCATTGCAGCCCTGTATAGGTTTTCCGAGGCTGTAAATCTTTTCGGGAGCAGAAAGCATCGTCTTTCTCCCATGGCGTAGCTTGTAGTTTCAAACTGCTGACCTTGAGGTTAGCAGCCCTACTCGTAACCACTATGCTACCAGAGTGCCTCTGTTTTTAATGTACCTGGCACTAATCCAGGTGTTGGGACCACACCACAGTGAATAGACCAGCTTGGACATTGCCTAACTGAACCTGAAATCTAGAGGGACAAAATGAATAATTAAAAAAAGAACTTTTATGTTATGAAGGGAGACATAATAGTCCTTTGAGAGCACAGAGAAGAGGCACCTAACATGCACTTTTATGATCAGGACATCTAACCTGAGATTTGAGAAGGGGGCGGGGGAGTTAATGAAGAACTTGGAGGCATTGTGGCATACTGATTTATATCTATGGGTTGAATCATCCTTGTGCCTATCTAGCATTATGACCTTGGGCAGCCTGTCTCATATTTCTCCTCTAAAATAGATTCAATAATAGTACCTCATTCCTAAAATCCTTACAAATGTTGTGAAGATTAATGATGGTATTAATAAGGCATGTATCATAGTTCTTGACATGCAGTAGGAACTCAGTAAATGCTTTAACTTTAATAATATTAATAATAAAGATGGAATCAGTACAGGTTATTGAAATAACTTGTGACAGACTTGGCTGGGGAGGTATTTTGACAAGAGAAAAGGTTAAAGAGGTAGAACTCAGACATAAAGAGCTTGTGAGTCACAAAGCATTTTAACATGAAGACATTGGAGTCTTGGAATGACCAGTGGCAGTAGACAGAAGGTGTAGGATGGTAGTGGCATGAACCCAGGGAGTGGCTGCGGTAGGATGTGCAGTTTTGAAAAGTATTTTAAGAGGTGGTGATGGTTGTATGGCATCAGTCGGTTCTGATTCATAGCATCCCTGTATAGAGTTTCCAAGGCTGTAAAACTTGACAGGAACAGAAAGCCTCATCTTTCTCCTTTGGAATTGCTGATAGATTTTAAACTGCTCACCTTGTGGCTGCAGTCCAACTTATAACCCATTGTGTCTATTTTAAGAGGTACCATTAACAGCATTATTTTGATAACTGGAGGTTTGCCACAATTTGCAAGCCTTGTCAAAACTTATGCTGCTGTGTGTGTGTGTAGGTATGTATGAATTTGGAGTCCTGGTGTGCTGTAGGTTAATGCGCTGGACTGCAAAGTCAGTTTGAACTGCAAGGTTGGTGGTTCAAGTTCACCAGCTGTTCCTCAGAAACCCTTTACAGGGTTGTTATGGGTTGGAATTGACTCGACGCCACTTAACAACAACAACATATTTGAAATAACATTTAAGCAGTGTAACAAAATCAGAAAATAAAAATTTTATATAATCTTTTGTTTTTAGACCTCTGTAAAAAGCCACATCTACACTTGTGGTCATTGTATGGTACAGTAGAGTCTAGATTTTATTGCTCCCCCAATGTTTGTTTATATTGGCTATACAGGAGACAGAAGACTACATGTCCTCTAAAGACTGCTTCTCCTTTAAAGGCCTTTTTTGTTGTCTTTGTTTTAGTGAAAAGTCAGTGTTAAAGGAGCAGAATTTGTTGTGAAAGTTTTAGGATCTGGTCCTATTTAGTGTAAGAGTTTTTTGAAAACCCATTGTTTTTGTTGTTTTATAAGAATTGTCCGCCGTAATTTCCTTTGTGCTGCTGGCTCTCTTCCAATCTAGGTGAAATAATTTTATTTGCATTTAATTTCTTTCTATATATTTATGTAAATGCTTTTACTCATTATATTTAGTAACTATGTCTAGTTGGAAATTAGTGAAGATTTATTAGACAGCCATTAATGTTTTAAAACTCATTCCTAAAACAAGTGGCAAAAACTGTATAAAAGTAAAATAAAACAGTCTTAGTAGGTTACCTATTTTACATGGGTAATGTTTAGTGCCATTGAGTTGACTCCAACTTATAATGACCCTGTATAGGGTTTCCAAGGAGTAGCTAGTGGTTTTGAACAGCTAATCTTGTTAGCAGTCCAGAACATACCCTGCCTAAGTCACAGTTATGTTTCAAGATTCTATAGCACATTATACTGGTATTTTAAAAAATAACCCAAACACTTGTTTTTCAGTAGTTGGGTGATGGCCATTGGCCTTAATAAGCTAGTGCTTTTATTCATGGAAAGAGTGTATAAGTTTATTAGGTGTTTTTTCTTTTTTGCCCTGCTTAATCATCTTTCAAATCTTAACAGTTGAATTTCATCTCTTTTTTTGAACACAGAAAAGAAATGCTTGCCCAGCAGCGTGAATATAAAAAAAAGAAAGCTTTGAAAAAAGCACAGAGAATAAAAGAACTTGAGCAGGAAAGAGAGGACCAGAAGGTGAAATGGCAGCAGTTCAACAACAGAGCCTATTCTAAGAACAAAAAAGGCCAGGTTAGTTACTCCTTGCATCATACGTTGTCAAAGTGCAGTTGTCACTAATAGTACTTTTAAGTTGATAAAAGGAGGTACATCATTGTAAAAAAAAAACTGTAATAACCAGACTTGGAATTCAGAACCTTCTTTAACCCAGTTGGACTCCATTAGTCACTGTCTGCTGACTGATGTTGTTGCTAAGTGCAGTCAAGTTGATCCTGACTCAGCAACCCTGTATAGGGTTTCCGAGGAATAGCTGTAAATACTTTGAATTTACATGAGAAATGACAAAAGATCTAGGCTCTTTTCTATTAACTGAAATTTGGAAAATAATCTGCTACCTCACATACCACTTAGAGACAGTGTGCTGAAGTCTGTCTGCTCTGTTATTGTATCTAATACTGATCATCATTGGTAGATTTCGTTGAAAAGACTGGGTTTCCTTGGTGTATGTTATACAGATAATATCCATAACATTTGTACAATTGAGAATAAGAACAACTTGGCCTGTAACTCATAGTTGATGGTAAGCCCCTCCACTGAGGGACATAGCTCCAAAATGTGGAGCTTCCTTTATGTGAAGATGTTCATTTTGTGACTCTCAAAGGCCAAGGGGCTCCACAATGCAGATGTCATAATGGGCTCCACAGTAGACTTCATTCATTGCTCCAGGTGCTAGTCATGCACAGTCATGGCTGAAATTAGGATTTGAGTATGCAAAACAAAACTATTGAGAATGTTGTTGTTGTTAAGTGCCGTCAAGTCAATTCTGACCCTTAGCGACCCTGAATAGGGTTTCCAAGGAACAGCTGGTGAGCTTGAACCTTGTGGTTGAAACTGACTTTGTGGTCCAGCGCATTAACCCAGTGTGTAGTGGCGACACTCGTAAGTGAGCTCTCATGGTCCCATTTCAGCACTCATTTTCACTCCAAACATAGAAATAAACTGAAACCAGTATATTTTCACATGAACCTCAAATTTGAAAATTATTTTCTTATGAAACTAATCAGGACTGGTTTCTCTTCTTTCCTTAGGTGAAGAGGAGTATTTTTGCTTCACCTGAAAGTGTCACTGGCAAAGTTGGAGTTGGGACTTGTGGAATTGCAGATAAACCTATGACACAATATCAGGATACGTCCAAATACAATGTCAGGCATTTGATGCCTCAGTAATCAGAAAAACTGTTGGATTTCATCTTCACAGGGCTTTACATTTACCTTTTTATTCTTATATTTTTCTAAAGGTAAATTATTTGTTAGATGAGTAAGGAAGAATACCATTGTCACCACTGACTTCAGTAGAATGAAACTTGAAGAAATTGCAATTGATAACTGCTATTCATTCAACTTTCTTCATTACTACCACCACGATTCCCTAAACATTTATTGAATAAAGCGACTTTTCTAGGTAGACACTGCTTAAATACAGCACCAGTTGTTAATCTCCCTTATGTCAGATCCCCACACAACCGATGGTATATACTTTTTGTAAGATCATAACTTGAACGTTTTTCATATGCTTTGAACTTGTCATATCTTTTAGCAATTCATTGGAACTGCAGGATAAGCACTATCTTGCTAAAGAGATCTTCCTCCCCACCCCCCACCCCCATTCACCTTAAAACTTAGTTGTCCAATTAACACCAAATTTAGGTTAATTTGTAAATGGCAGCATTTGTTTTTGAGGGTTTTTTCTTCAATAACTTGTTTGTTAAACCTATTGTGCCATCTCTAAAATTGATTCAGCTCATTCTCCTCATGAGTTTTATGGAAGAAACCATGTTTAGGAACATCTGTCTTTTCTAAGAATCTGTTTTTCTATTTTGTAAATTTGCTGGGTATTTTTCTTTTTCTTTTTTTTTTGGTGTTGATTTTTCACCTCTGGTAGTGGTACCATTTTTTGGATGTGTAATGTTTATATGGGAAAGCGAAAAGCTAATGTATAGCCCTGTATACAGTGTAGATACTATTTTTGTAAAAAAAAACAAAACAAAAAAACCAAGGCTAAATTAATGAACAAGAGTACTGAATGTTTTCATTAAAAATCTACTGTATTTCTTGTGCATTAATATGACCATAATTTCCCTGTATATTATGTTCATGCAGCTGAGTTTGTAATTTTTGTTAACTAGATCAAGTTGTCGGCATTTGTTGGTGTAAGTAAACATCACAATTGCTCTGAGTTGAGTTTAAGCCAAATACATAGAAAAGGGTATTCCTATTAACAGTGATTTTCAGAATCTGTGTTAATTTCAGTTTTGTATGTTTAACTTTTATTAAAGTGCTTTTAAAATCTCCAGGGTGTGTTAACCAAAAGGCGAGCTCTCTAGCCGTCAGTGTTGATAAAGTGATTACGACACCATGTACTTGCACACAGCATTGCTACAGAAAAAAGAACTGAGTATGTGATACAGGTTTCAATAAATCATGGAGTACTCCTTCCATTAGAATTAAGACATAGAATTCTAAACTACAGACTAGTTTTATTTTAAGGATTTGTGCTATGTATAGAGGTGTTTGTATATTTTTGGTGGAAGGGAAAAATAAAAAATGTTTATTTCATGAAGCTTTAATTTCTGGGGTTAAAAATGAAACAGGAGGGCAGTGATATGAAGTAGACTTTCCCATTTCTCCTTGCCTCCTCTCTCCCAATCTATTTTTCTTAGATCAGTGTTTTTCTTTTCAGTAATCTGTGAGCACATGGGTAGGATATATGGGATAGAAAGTTGAAAGATAGTAATTTAAGCCCAAGGTACAAATAAAATTATTTTCATTCCCATTGTAAAAAGCATTCTGAGAACATACTAATAGCCACCTTAAAGATTATAAGGGAATCCTTTGAATAAAGTAGCATAGGAAATACATTTGTTGGTTTAATTATATGACTTCACCAAATGATTCCTGATTACTCTGGTATGATTGTTGGAATGTATAGTAATTCACCTGGTGTTTATGCAAGAGGGGCCTTTGCAGTAGGAGAGAAATTAAAACCCTACAAAACATTGTGAAAATATGAGATAAGGATTCCTTAGCTCAAAAGCATAGTGGGTCCTTTTTGGGAAATCCTGGTATATCAGGGTGATGGTGGTGTCTGGACTGTAGCCAAAAGTTTTTTTTTTTCTGGCAAGAAAAGGGTACTTGAAGCTGAAATGTTAACTGATCTGGGACCCTAAATTATTGATTTTGCATGTCTTCTCAAATCATACTTTGTTCATTTTCAAGGAAAGGACAGTACCAGTTCGCCAAAGTGTGAATTTTTGTTGCAATTACAGATAGCAAATACTATTTTAGTTAACACTTTGAGAAACTGTGTGAATAGCAGACTCTTGTGCCACTAGTCTGCCTCATTTTTCTCAGCTGTAGACTAGAAATTAGAGTAATCTCTTCCATACGTTGTGTAAAGTGCTTAAAAGTAGCTGGCACTGTAAACACTATACAAGTGTTTGCTATTACTATGTAGAATGGTAATAGTAAATATGAGGCTTTCTGTTCACACCAAATATATATATATGTATTTGTATGTATATGTGTTATGTGCCATGGCGTTGGTCCCAGTTCATAGAGACCCTTTATATGGTTTCTGAGGCTGTAAATCTTTGCTGGGAGCAGAAAGCCTCATCTTTCTCCCGCGGGACAGCTGATAGTTTCAAACTGCTGACCTTGAGGTTAGCAGCCCGACTCGTAACTATTACGCTATATATATATATATATATATAATAAAGTCATTGAAGGTTTCACTGAATTTTTAGATGAGAATATCCCTAGGGCACAGTTCAGAACAGGAAGGGGGTGTAGGTTATAATAACAAAAAACATACCAATGCTTATTTGAAAAGAGTAATTTCTGGGTCTTGGGTCTACCCAAGACATGTACCTGGACAAAAAGATGTCTACTTTGATATATACCACCAGTGATTCTAATATGCACACCTGGCAAACAACCATATTTTAGGTTAAATGTGAAAGCTGTTTTGAAGTGGCATTTTCATTAGCTCAATTATGAAGGTATCTAACCAAAATGAACTTCAGCTAATTTAACAACTCATTTTTAAAAATGCTCGTTATTGTCAGTGAAGGCTGTATGTGTTCTCATGCTGTTTTAATGCTGAGGTCCTTGAAAATAGCAAATAACAAGGGAAAACTAGGGAATTAGGAAAATGCTGACAAAGTTTCTCAGCATGTCCACAGATTATAGTGGGGGGAAAATTATAAAAATCAACTAAAGTGTATTTTTAAAGTTTTGATTTGACTTGGCCTCAATTTGTATATTAAAGTAGAAAAAGAAGAAAATCTGTTAAAACCAAGGATTTAAAATTTGTTAAAAATCTTTAGATGTTTCAATAAATACCTGCTGAATCCCATATGGAATATAACTGAAGCAACCAATTTGAATAAATGGTAATTTGAAGTTCAGCAATAAATGTAAACATTCTTTATATCTGGGATTTTTGAGTTGATTTATACTGCAGTGGAGAGGAAGGGCATATAGCAGTCAAAATAACAGGTTGTTGTGTGCCGTGGAGTCGGTTCTGACTCATAGTGACCCTGTACAGGGTTTCTGAGGCTGTAAATCTTTACGGGAGCAGAAAGCCTCATCTTCCTGAGGAACAGCTGGTAGTTTCGAACTGCTGATCTTGCGGTTCGCAGCCTGATTCATAACCAGTACGCTACCAGAGCTCCTTAAAAATAGTTTAAAAATGAATCCCTTTATCCTTATACATGTGTGTGTGTACATATATATGTTGCTAAGTACAATCCTGTATAGGGTTTCCATGACTTACAAATCTTTGTGGCAGCAGAAAGCCTCAAGAGCGACTGGTGAGTTTGAACCGCCGACCTTGTACTTCACAGTTGTTATGCTCCCCGTACACACGCATATATAATGTTCCTGTAAAACATCTTGAGATTAAAGCCAATATTGTTGATGGGGCATTCTAAGAATTTCTTGTTTTGGCTTTGTTGTTAAGTGCCGTCAAGTCAGTTCCAACCTATAGTGACCCTGTATAAGGTTTCCAAGGAGCAGCTGGTGAGCTTGAACCACTGACCTTGCAGTTCAAACAACCTTACAGTCCAGCGCATTAACTCACAGATTTACCAAGAAAATAAAGTGAGATGTTGTAATTTGTGGGGATTTTAATTTGCCTTTTTAGCTTAGATATATAAAGTTGCTCTTTTGTAGTCTTGAGCAGGGTAAAGCAGATCAAGGTGAAATAGCTAAAAATGCCCCATTTTTGATGCAGTTCCATCATTCAGGCAATAAAAACTAGCAATTTACTTAATAACAAACACTTGACAACTCAAATTTTTAGGAAACCAATATAGACAAGTCACTAAGTGTTGTCAAGTTGGTCACTACTCATAGTGACCCTCTATAGGATTTCCATCAAGCGGTTGGTGTATTTGAATTGAACTGCCAACTTTAGCAATCCATTGCTTATCCTACGGTGCCACACGAGGATTTGAATTGTAATGTGCCCTCAGTATAGGTTAAAGGACCCATAGTTACTTGGAGAAAGGTTGGCTTTTCTTACAAGAGGTACTTACAGCCCTAAGTACTGTTCTTCATTGGCTAAGGATTTTCCTTTTTTGGTAAAATGTGTTCATCTGCCCCCTCCCTCTGCTTTCAAACCCTGTGCTGGACTTTAGCAGCAAAGTTTCTGATTGTAGAATTCTGGCTTGGCAGACACCATATTCTGGGAGAACTAGAATTGAAGCCTCTGATACACAGCTAGTGTTCAATAGATGGCGGCTAATTGTCCAGAGTAGCAGGAAGAACTATCCCTTTGGTTCTTTTGCCTGGAGTTTTTCTTCAGCAAAGCAAGCTGAAGATTTAATTGACTTTAAGAGTACAAAAAAAGCTAATAATTTAGCAACAACTGATCTCTTAAATTTCTATTCTTTTTACATTTTAAATATGTTTTACGACTTCTGTTATTTTCACAAAAACATACTCTGTCCTGGTCATTTATAAAGAATAATACGAGGGTGAATCAAAATGTATTTGCTACAAAATCATAACTTTTATTAAACATCCGAATGTGAAGCAGTTGTTTCTTGGCATGTCCTCCATCTGGGTCTATATACTCCTGAAGGTGGTGTTTCCATCTTCTCTGGAAAATTCTGCAATTGTCCAAACAGTTTAGGCATTTTCAAGGGACTCATATTGTGTTCCTTTTAAATGTTGAGTTTGGGGAAGAAAAGTATGAAAGGGACACGATCAGGACTTGGTTGGATGGGGGTAAGGTTTCCCAACGAAATGCTCCTAGGACCTGGAAGAATAAGCAGGTGCATTGTCGTGATGGGAAAATTCCTTGGTGCAACTTTCTTGGCCTGTTTTACCAAAGCAGTATCCCATATTCTGAAAACATTTTCATAAACCTGTAATCATCCTATGTCCTTTGAGGAAATCACCATTATCCCTTTGGAATCCAAAAGTCACTGTAACCTGAGCTAGTGACTCTTCTACCATGAGTCTAACTGGTTCAACAGATACCCTCAGAAGCCACTGTTTTGGCTGGACCTTCTTTTTGAAAGTACCCTATGACTAAGACAAGTATTAGTAAAAGAACTTGTCTACAACTGTCCACAGCATGTTTAGAATAAACCTGGTGCATGTATGAACTGGAACCCTAGTAGCAGTATTTTTTGATTGTCCCAACAATAAAAACGTTAAGCATTTCCTCATAACAGAGATTGAAGGGAAACTTACAAAAGTCCAGATAGTTGGCAGTACTCTTTTTAAAGAGTTTCATTTCCCCCAATAATTCATAACTTCATGGAAGATAAACTCAGAACCAAGATGTAAAGTCAGATGCTGCATATATTTGGAACTACACTGCCTATTTCAGAGGCACATTACACAAGAAAACCCACTCCCTATTCAGTCTGGTGCCCCGGACCAAAAAGACTGCAGACTCCTCACCACAAAGGCCAGCACCAGATAGTAAACTAGCACAGTCCACAGGTTCCAGCAAACATTACACTAAAGCACGTTAGATGGATTTTTTTTTTTTTTTTTTTTTTGCTTTGTTAAGTACCGTGGAGTCGATTCTGACTCATAGTGACCCTGCACAGGGTTTCCGATGCTGTAAATCTTTATGGGAGAAGAAAGCCTCTTCTTTCTCACACAGAACAGCTGGTAGTTTTGAACTGCTGACCTTGAGATTAGCAGCCCGATCTGTAACCACTATGTTACCAGAGCTCCTTATGCTTATACTATACTGTAACCTGTTAAGTGTGTAACAGCATTATGAGAAGGTTTAACATAAGAAAATTCCCAAAATGGGACACAAAGTGAGCATATGCAGCTGGAAAAATGGTGAAGACCGACTTGCTTGGCACAGGATTGCCACAAGCCTTCCGTTTGTACCCCATTATCTGTGAGGCACAACTCAATGAGGCCTACCTGTAGTATAGAGTGGCTACTATCAGTGCCCTCAAACACGAGTTAGTCCTGTTTTAGAAAGATCAGGTAATCACTAACACAGAGATCAAAATAGACATCTTACAAATTACAACCTACCACAGAGTTTTGTTAAAAGTGAACTCATACTTAGAAATAGCCCTTTTCTGTAGGATTCGAGTAAAAATAACAAACGTTACATTTATCCGAGAAATAAATGCCTCAATTTCCTAGATCTGGGGAGGGGTAGTTTATATCTACTTTAATAAACCTTTCAAGATAAAGCCATTGTGATAAAAAAAAAGTTTATTATTTTTTTTTTTAGGAGGAGACAGGCCCAGTGAAGAAATTAAATTAACTTCTGTTTGGTGTGTACACAGTATTAGAAATGAAATTTTAATCTGATCAACATCTCTTGTTCTCCCCTGTTTTTGCTGGTGGTGTAGGTAGATTGGGTTAGTTTGATACATGGATGGGGAATTTTAGGTTATAGGATAATATAAAGATGGCCAAATACAGTTGCTTCTTTAAGTGAAAGAAAATCACATTTTTAAAAAACCGTCTAAAGGGCTAACCAACTTTCTCATGAGAAATGATGCAAGGGGCAGTGTGTGCAGCCCTGCCTTTTCAAATCCCTCCATGATGTTTACAGTGGTGACTTTAAACGGGAATTAGAAAAGGCATTTTAAAGAGACTTGGGTGCCACTGAGTTGGTTCTAACTCCCAGCAACCCTGTATAGTGTTTCTGAGAAGCTGCTGGTGGGTTTGAACCATCAACCTTGTGGTTAGCAGTTTAATGCTACAGTGCCAAACCAGAACTCCATTTTTGCCTTTTTAATATTATTTATAACATAACTATAAAAGTTGTAATGGTTAATTTTTAGAGATTTTCTGGTTAGTGTTGTTAAGTGCTGTCAATCCGTTCCGACTCATAGCTGTATAGGGTTTCCACTGGAGTGGCTGGTGAGTTTGAACCAATGATCTTGTGGTCCAGTGCTTATCCTATAGCACCAACCAAAGATTCCTCTTTTTAAAGAGTCCTTACACCTATTTTAACCAATTAGCATTTAACCACAATACCACCAGAGTTGCTCAATATAAAAATCATTTATATATGCATTTTACCTATCAGGTATCCTAAGTCAGGATGTTGTTGTTAAGTGCCATCGAGTCAGTTCCGACCCATAGCGACCCTGTACAGGGTTTCCGAGGGTGTAAATCTTTACGGGAGTAGAAAGCCTCATCTTTCTCCCATGGAACAGCTGGTAGTTTCGAACCGCTGACCTTAAGGTTTGCAGCCTGATTCGTAGCCACTACACTACCAGATAGTGGGGACTAAATGGAAACTAGATGTGGAAAGTATTCTAATAAAAATGTAGCCAAAGGGATTCTTAAATAAGTTACTTGGAGAAGAGATGATAAGTGGCTTTTGTAAGCAATAACATAATGAGATAGTACACCCCCAGCAGTTAGATTGTGAGGACTTAGCACCTGTTTAAACTGTAGAACAGGAAACAGAAACCATCACTTGAGTTGTCATTAACTCCTGCCTGCTGGTGTAGCATCAACAGACGTTTACAAGGGAGTTGTCTCTCAATGTGTGGATGCTCATCTGTCATTTTGTCCTTCACAGAGAAGGCTGGTACAAAAAGCACTCGGGTATTCTTCATTCACAATTTTTATTTCTTGCAGTTAATCGTTGTGTCTTCAAAGCTGATTTGTCTTTTAAAAAATTAATACTTCTTACTCATGGTACAATCCGCCACTCATCTTCCCCAAGGAAACAAACCCAGGAAAGGTGTAATTTAGGGGGCAGTTTAAGTACGCATTATAGATTCTCAACAAAGGCTTTTCAGCCCACCGCCTGGTAAAACAACATGGCAGCACCTCAACTTCACCTGAATGAAGCCCCAAATTCTAGCCCTAGGGCAAAATGATGCCCGTGTATGCCATGGGAATAACAAAACAGAAGCTTAGTAATTAGCTCCATTTACTTTCCATGGTGGTTAACACAGTCTTCAAACCATGTCTCACTTGAGAAAGTCAAAATTAAGCAAAGATATAGAGCAACATCTTGACCCAGCCAGGAGTAATTATAAATGAAACCAGAAATAATTTACCTAGGCCACAGATATTATCTGTCATGTTTTCATTAAGTCTCCAGCACCTGAAATAGCAGTTTTTAATAATGGGCTTCTAAAGGCATGCAGTTTTTCACATACATCTACTTCAAAGAATTCTTCCACTCAAACATAGCACAAATCAAGGATCAAGTATTCCAGAGGCACAGAAAGAGCACAAGACCAAGGAAGACTATGCTGAGGCCTTCGTATGATACACTTCATACACAGAAGCAGTGAAGGTCGTTAGAAAGTGCTACTTACAAAGGACAGTCTAACATTAACACACAACTCAACTGCACTGCTAAATATGGTTGTCTTTATTTTCTTTTTCCTTGCCCAGCCCTATCTAAAACATAAAATAAAACTACAAGACTGAAATTAACAACCCATTAAAAACAGCAATAAGTTATGAAAATCATAAAGCTTTTTTTTTTTCCTTTTTAAGTAATTAAGGGTAGTTAAATTATTTAAAGTATACAAAGTTCAAACAGCCAGGGGTAAGGTCTCCAAGAAAGCTTCCTGGGGTACGGGAGAGGGCAAGAGGGAAACCTTGGAGTTTAAAGACAGAGGGAACACATGACCATCAAAGTGCAGGTTAGAAATTTCACTTTAAAGAAAGTAACGTTTCTGAAAATATTCCTAAGAGCAACAACAGCACCTGCGCAGTGGGACTGAGGAAGGAGAGAGATTGCCTGTAGGAAAATGGAAGCAAATCTTTACACTAAAATGAGACAAGTGCTGAACTGAACTATATTAACTATGATAGTCTACAATAGGTACCAGATGGTTCAACGCTGGTAAAGGGTAATGATTCTAAAAGAAAACAAAAACCTTAGCACTGACCTTTTTTCTCCCTAGTCCAGACCTCATTCATTTTGTGCACTATAAAGAGTGAGGTGTGAGGTGTTTTATCAAATGCTGCATCAAAATAGATGATTTTTCCCATGTGTTTTTCCACTAAAAAAGACATCTATGATTTTTATGGACAAGCTTTTAAAAAGATGTCATTTTGGTTTCAACACATACAAACAGTTATCAAAATCTGAAATAAAAATGCTGCTGTGGCTCAGACCTTGGCCTGCTTATCTGTGAGCAAAACTCTTGTGGCCACGCAGACACAGAGGCACGAGGCGCTTTCTCCTGCGGCCCCCAATCCGCACTTACAGGCTCACAGGCCTTGTGTGGGAGAGGCTGTCATGCACTGACGGGCCTACGGGTGGCAGGCGGGCTGGCGGTTTGGTGCCCTAGTGCTAACAATGCAGGATGAGGTTAGCTTGCTTAGCATGGAATCCAACAGAAAGCTGAGCGGCATCGTGATCCCTTTCAACAGGCTTCATAGGAATCTCTCCTTTTGCAGAGCATGAAATGAGCTTTTTATAAGAATTGATCATCCACAGGCTTCATGATAAGCTGTCCCAGGCTGAGTGATGATAGCTCTTTAGCTATCCAAGATTAATGCCTGATTTCCTCTTGTCTTCTCATTACTACAGGTTTGTTTGTTTTTAGGACTATAAAGCTCAGGAAGGGTTCATAACCCATCCTTAAGCATGTCTGCTCAATGAAGTATGAGCAAACTAGAAAAGAAAAAGGATGGGATCTCCAATGTCCTCTTTTAAATCAACTAAATCAAAACAAGGACATTTCACACAAGTTTTCTGCTGCCATTAGAAACTGTGATTTTCCAATATGAATATTATGACTATTTATTCTGCTGGGGAGGCTCTGCCCCACTTTTTGTTATGTATTTGCTTAAATGCAGGTCTTTTGAGACCATTTTGTTTTGTTTTAAAGAGGAGACTGCATCCTGAACCCAATTTAAGAGACTGTTTGGATTGAATTGGCTGTTACATCATGCTGGGTTCTAGGAAGTGAAGGAAAGTTTGACACTGGCACTGGAGTAGCCCTCGTCGCTGCCAATACTCTGCAGGCTGCTGTGGTCATCAAGGTCACTGATGCTGGCGGTACTGATACTGTCCACTTCTCCATGGGAGAACTCTGTGCTTTCAACATCCACTTCAATCTCCTCTGCCAAAGAGAAAAGAGGAAAAGCAGTCATAAGATCTGGTGTATGCACACCCTCAAAACAACAGGACAGAAGGGAAGCATAAAGTAACATATATACAAGTTTAGTATCCGTGATCTCTGGAGAAAGTAAGAACTAAAGGGAAAACAGGATTCTTTTTTGGAAAGGGACATACCTGTTATATTGTGGTGGTTTTCCGTTTAGGAAGCAGGTTTTTCTAAACTCTGATACCAGTTCCTCTTACCTCCCACTGAGAGCACTTGGCCAACTTGGGAACCCTACCTAGTTAACTAACATCTGTTTTGCATCAAACCAGAATCTAATTCTCAATGCTGTTTATTAATCAAGGCTGCCTTAAAGGGGAAAGAGCGCAAATTTAATAGAGGTGAAATAGAATATTTATCCAGACCTTTGGTGGTACCATTTTATAGATAGTTCTACAGATTTCTAGGGGTCATCATGAAGTTCTTTGACTATTCAGTAAACAAAATAAGTCAGTCATTACAGAGTAGACTCAGATTTGTCTTCAATGTAATTTTCTTACACTAAATGTAGCTTAAACTAAAAAACTAAGATTTTAAAGTCTTAATTAGAGTGACATCTGTCCGTAGTTAAGGCTTATAGCAAAGTTTATAATAAAGGCAGCTTGTAGTAGTATTCAACTTTTACTTCAAAAACCACATATGATAAAGAAACCTAAATATATATATTATCCAGCTATCAATAGCTTAATACTACATATATAACCAATAATATTTTTAAAAAATACACATTTTAAAAACAAAAAGCAACTGAAAAACTGTTTCCTCAAACAAAATGAACTAGGGCTGTTCTAGGTCTCTTACATCGTGTGAAAGCCTGGTGCCTCATTATTTGGCACTGATCACAACTGCATCAGGAAAAGTGGGCTCTTAGGTTGCAAAGCATAATTTTCCAAAGGGCTTGTTGCTTCAAAAGTTTTAGAGTCTTTTAAAATGCAGGCATCTGACCAAACAAGCTGTACAAATAATCCTATGAATTCATAACTATTTGCTTCATATCCATAATGCTTCATAGAACATTCAGTATTTCCCAGCATGACAGAACACTCATCGAATGTACAACTGGGAAAGAAAATCAAGATGGCCTATCCAACATAATTTGCTGAACAATCAAATCAAAGTACAAGACTATTCTACTAGTCGGATGGACTGGGGTGCTACTTGACAGTGTCGTGTAACAATGGGAAAAGAGTGTTACTAGATAGGAACAAGACTGGTACTGAGGTCCAAGCACACAAGGAGCACTAAAACATATGAGAGCTATTATATGAAGAGGCGTCCTGGTGTGGCACTGTAGGATAATGCAGTGGATCACAAGGCTAGCAGTTCAAACTCACTAGCCGCTCCCTGAAAACCCTATACCAGGTTACTATGAGTCGGAACAGACTCGACGACACCTAACATTATATGAGGAAGGTAAACCTGCTATGAAATCTAGAGGTGCGGTAGGGGTACAATGAGGAGATAACTGAAGGAACAGTTTCTACACAGGGTGACTCTGAGTACACAGCCAAACACCCCCCAATTCCACGGTTTCTACATAAACAGTTCAGTGGCAGCTGCCATTCTTAGAGCTGGAAAACCATTATCACTTTCCTCTTCTGAACTCTTCCTCCCAGAACTCTTCCTCAGTCACTAAGTCCTGAGGTTTTTCTCTAATCTCTCAAATTGCTGTTATTAATCTGATCTCATATCGATGTTTCTTAAGAGAGCATAATGCTTCAGGCAGACCTTCATACGAGAGACGCTGAACTATTGTTTGGTTTTAATATGTCTTCAGAGGATGTTTTTGGTTTAAAGATGATCTCAGGGCAAGAGTTTTAAGAGTTCATCCACACTCAACGGCCTGCAGAACTAAGGCTGTAAATCTTTACAGAAGCAGACTGCCACATCTTTCTTCCACGGAGCAGCTGGTGGGTTCAAACCACTGATCTTTTGATTCGCAGTTCAGCACTTTAACCACTGTACAGTCACAGATCCTTAGACTAGTTCTCCAATGCAACACCGTAAACCGCTGCCATTGAGCCTGTTCCGACTCAGCGACCCTGCACAGGGTTCCTGGAGCTGTAAATCTATAGGAGCAGCAAACCACAACTTTCTCCCGTGACACAGCTGGTAGATGTGAACTGCTGACTTTTCTGCTAGTAGTCCAGTGCTTATTCTACAGTGTTCCCAGAGTATCAGATGCTGTGAAGTAAGATAGCCTAGTGCACAACATGGTGAATGTAATAAATGTCACAGAACTGTACACGTAAAAATGGCTAATATGGCAACTGTCTGTTATGTATATTTTGCCATTTTAACCATTAAGTGTTAAAAATAATAAAATTTAAAAAATATCTAACAAAGATTATCCGATTTTACTAATTTTATGGGTATATATCAGCATGGTAGTGTAGTGGTTATGAATCAGGCTGTTAACCTCAAGGTCGGCAGTTCGAAACTACCATCCATTCCGTGGGAAAAGATGAGGCATTCTGCTCCCATAAAGATTTACAGCCTTGGAAACCCTGTACAAGGTTACTAAGAGTCTGAGCCGACTCATGGTACTTAACAACAACAATCAGCATTATATATTTTACAGTCCTATCTAAGATACATGTATTTAGGGGCAAAATGATAATACTATTTGGAATTTGCTTTAAAACACCCCAGATAAAATACTGAAGATGACGATACAGAGACTAAATGAAACAAGAATGACAGCATACTGACAACTGTTCAGACTGGACAATGGATAGTTCATGATTCTATTCTCTCTGCTTTGTTTGGACATTTCTATTAAAAAACTCTTTAAAAAGTAACACTAATCTAAGCCTTAGAATGCTGAAGATATCATAAATTCTATTTTCCCAAAGGTAAAGCTTAAAACCACCAGAGCTCACCTCTGGGTTCAATGTTATTATAGCATGAGGTCTGATGTGGTAGAAACTAGAGATAAACAGATGAGTAAAATTCCAGCAATTTCTTTTTTTAGTTGATTTTTGTTCTTTAATTGTTCTGGGAAAATTGAAAAAGAAATGAAGGGTAAGGTACTTGAACAAGAAAAATGTTCACTTCCTGATATAATGTGTGGGAGGGAGATGGGTGTCTGCATCTGTAAAGATCACGGCAGCTCACTATGTGGCTGGCTGCTGCCTGTGCTGGCCACAGTTTGTGTTAACGTGGCTGGGCAGAGAGTCTCAGTGGGCTAGCAGTTAAGACACAGTAAACCCCCATGAGGAGATCTAATACAATTAGATGATGTGCTAGGAGCAGGCAGTCAATCGGGTGTGGCCTGCAACACCTTGTATCTTAAAAGAGAGAAACGGAGACAGAAGTGAGCAGAGAAAGAACCTACTACCACCAAAAAAGAAAAGTCACGAGTGGAATTTGTCCTTTGGGTCTGGGATCCTGCACTGTAAAGCTCCTAGCTCCAGGGTAAGACTGATCTAGCCAAGATCCATAGAGATCTTCATGGACTGCTGAAAGGAGACAAGGTCCTTTCCCCAGAACCGGTGCTCTGAATTCTTCTAACCTCCAGACTGTGCAAGAAGAAACTTTCGTTTGCCGAAGCTATACACTTGTGATATTTCTGTTATAGTTGTTGTTGTTAAGTACCGTGGAGTCGGTTCCGACTCATAGTGACCCTGCACAGGATTTCCGAAGCTGTAGATCTTTACGGGAGCAGAATACCTTATCTTTCTCCTGTGGAACCGCTGGTACTTTCGAACTGCTGACCTTGAGGTTGGCAGCCCGACTTGTAACCATACTTGGTAACTAAGACACTGCCAGAGCACAAGACTGTATGGAGATGTTTAACGCTTCATTATGGAAGAGGCACACTGCCTACCTCGCTCTGAATCAGAACGGTCTGAAGAAATAGTTGATCCAATGCTGTCCATTCGTATTCGCTCCATCTCCTGAGGACCCTGCAGCTGTTCCAGTCGACGTTTTAAAAATCTCTGTTCTCGTTCCAAGTTCTCAAGTTGGTGTTGGCTCTTCCTTTCAGCTTCTTCAAGTTTCTAAAATGGTAAAAATGGTGTTAATATTCATGCATAGTTTAGTAAAAACAATACAACTTAATGATTTCTATGTAACGTCTCCAAAGATTTCCTTTGGCAGAGAAGACAAGAATATGCATGTATGTAAGTATGTGTGTGTATTAAAAATTTGTTCTGGCTTCACTTGGTGTGTATGTGTAATGAAAGCTACATTCTTTGTAAGTTCTTGAAGTCTATAATCGCCATGAAGGAGAAACTTGCCCTGCAGTGAGCTGTTTGATGGAAAAATACTGAGGGAGAAAGCCAAGGGAAGTCATCTCCAGCAGAGGGCCCAGCTGCCTTTCTTCTGAGTATCGGGAAGGTAGTGGTTATTTTCCTAGTGTTCCCAGCTTTTCACTTGGCCCTGCACTCAAAACACTTTCGTTTAATAGGGCTACCTTGCTCCCATCAGATGAGCTTATAATGGTTTTAGAAATATTTCTCTTGAGGTTTGTTATTCTGAGGGCATGGGGGGTTGGTTGATGTGTAAAGCCTAGGTATCACTGCTAATAATTAAACCAGGACTGAGAGAACCATGTGTAACTATGAAGGTAAATTGTTCACCTTGATGTGCGCTTTGGCTTTGTTGAGCAAACCGAGTGTTGTGTGCCTGGTGCAGTCTGGTCCCAGTGGAATCAGAACTTTTAAGCGTTCTAAACACAGGCGCAGATGGGCTCGTCTAAGAAAGACACACAAAAAAAGTCAAATAAATCAACACAACTTGGATTATACTGGAAACAGCCTAAAACCTATTTTCAGGAAAACTATAATTTGTACATTATTCAGTCTGTAACCATCTCGCTACATCCCTAATTCTTTTGTTGCAAAGTGGTTGCAAGTGTGGACACGCCTGTTTGGTCTCTGCCATTTCTGTTGTACTCTTCAAATTCAGATTATCCTCAGTGGTAATCTCTGTCAGAGATGGCTTAATTTTCAGTCCACCCTATAAACTGCTGCAACTGTATGAAGTATGGAGGTGGGAAAGTATACTAGGGCAGTTGTTACTTGTTTAGTTTGACTGCTTAAAACCATCGGCTAAGAAGGATTTTTCACCCAGTGGGTAATAAAATGTTCACAAATTTCCATTTCATCCATCCTACCTGCGGTCCTAGCTTACCAACTTTGTGGAAACCCTATACAGGGTCGCTATGGGTCGGAACCGACTCAATGGCACTTAACACACACACCTCAATTATAGCTGTCCTA